CGGGCTCGGGGCATGGAGGGGAGCCCGGCTGCCGGGGGCAGCCGACCACCGAAGAATACGGAAATGCTATCGGCCAAATGGCCCGAACAACGAAGGGGCCACCCAAGGCAATCATTGCCCGGGCGCCAGGGCGGAACTGTTACTTAAGACCCGCTTCTTCCTTAGGCACCGCACCTTTGCACTCCAGGAGGGGGAAAGGAAGAGAGGGGAGACCATCACGCGGAGGAGGAGGAGGAGGAGGAGGAGGAGGAGGAGGGGGAGGAGGAGGGGCGAACATTGAGTGAACAAGGCTCTGCGTCCATGGCTCATTCTTGGCACGCGAGTACAGCAGCCTGTCGTGCCCGTTCCAGGGCGGCAGAGGACGGGCTCTTCGCCCTCCTTGACCTTGTTAGAAGGGTGACATGCCAACACGGCTCGTCGAACGGCGGCTCGGCGAGTGAGCGGGCCAGCAGGAGCGTAGAAAGTACCTAGGGCCCAACGTTGACTGCGATCGGCGGGACTCGGAATCGAGGGAGGAACGAGGAGGCCCGTGAGGCAGGGGCGCCGGAGATAGTGCCAGAAGTCGTCCAAGGCACATTGGTCAGGGCACCCGGATCAGCAGGTTCGCCCGCGAAGGCCGCGCACGCGGCCACGGGTCGTCCAGCCGCCGCACACCGTTTTAAGCAGAGCCCAACGCCCGGGCGGTCGCACCTGCACCAGTTCCCCCCGGAGCCCGTCTGAAGGGGCCCTGGGACACACAAATAAATACACACAAATAAACAGATTCCCCCCCATTCTCCTATCTTTTCTGGGTTTCTGTCTTCCCCCCCACTTCCCATATTTGCCCATATTTTCCTGGGGATCGACGATGAATTGTGTCTGTGTGTTTTTTCCCCTCCTGACCGTCCCAAACCTCCCTCATCTCGGCCGCCGTCCTGGACGCTGCCCCGCCGTGGCATGCGCGGAGGCGGCGGGTGAAGGAGGAGGCGGCGGCGATCAGGGAAGGAAGCGGGCAAGGGATAGGGGGGCACCAACTATACACCAACACCGATCCCAGCCCAGATCAACCTGGGCCCGGGATCGGTGCATACGCCCTCCTGCCATGGGCAGAATGCATATATGCACCGATCCTGGGCCTAGGACCCAGGATCGGCCTGGGCTGGATCGGTGCAGGTGTATAGTCGGTGCCCCCCGAAAGGGAGATCGCGCAGCGGCGCGCCGCATGTGGGGCTTCCTGCGCGTCGCCGCTGCCTGCTGGCGCTCATCCCGCGCAGAGTGCCGCGCATGTGGTGGAGCTCCCGCGCGCGAACATTCAAGGGGCCCAAGGACACACAAATAAATACACACAAATAAAAATATGTCCCATATTTTCAAATATGTTCTGGGTTCTTGTCTTCCCCCCCAATTCTCATTTTTTCCTATATTTTCCTGGGGGTCGACGATTAATTGTGTCTGTGTGTTTCTTTCCCTCCTGAAACATGGCGGCAGGCCCGTGTCGCCCTCCGCCGCCTCTGGCCGGGTGCTGGGCAGAGGCAGGCGGCTCCTCCCCAGAATCGGGGGCGCGCCGATGGGCCATGGTTTTATCACCGCCGCCCTCAGCAGAGAAGGAATCCCCCCAGGGTTCGAAGCCTCCTGGGCACCGCACGAGGAAACCCCCGGCAGGGAATCTGGGACCTGGAAGGCGTGGAGGTCCAATCGCCGATTGGCTATGGATATTCGCGGGCGCGCAAAAATGCATTAGCGATCCATGGATGTGGCGCGCGGTCGCCAAATCAATGGATCGTGGGAGGTGCCCTCCCCCTTCCCCAAATGCGGCCGGTGCCGCCTCGCTCGGCGGCGGAAGCCCGCGATTTCCAATGGAAACGGGACCCGTCGCTAATCCACGCCCCCTTGATTCATGTTTGCGATCGCCTGAGAAAAGCGCGGCGACCACTCCCCCCTCCTGAAACCCATGAGGAAAGCATTATCTTCCGCCGCGCTTCGCCAGACGCTCCAGAGCCAGCCTAGCGCCATGCGGATACGCGCTGCGCTACGCGGCGGTCGTGACTTCCAAAGAAGGGAGGGCGCCCGCTAGGAACCGCGTGGCGAGACTCAGAAGCTCAGAGCGTGCAAACGTGCTGGGAGGGAGTTTGAGAAGCGAGTGGAGGGCTAAGAACTCCGATCGAGCCATCCGAGGAGGAGGCACACACACACATTGGGCTACATATGAGAGTGCCGCGTGCCGATACAGCGTGGGAGGCATACAAACGAACTGCGCTGCCGGGCGGGGCGTCGGTCGCTGGAATATGATGCGTGCGGCTCCACCACTTGTGCCGTGGGCCGTGCTACTGCAAAGCTCGATCGGCGCCCGGTCCCACGAACAGGCCTGAGTAGCGAGCGTGCGAAGCAGTCTTGAATCTCCCCCGCTCCTCGCCTAGCAGACGCAGCTTCTCCGAGAGCCGAGCCACGACGGGAGGTGTCGGGAGCGCGCAGAGAGGCACAACTGCACATTTGGTGGCTTGCAGCGCCAAGCCAGCAAGGCGCCTCGCGGCACAAAAAGGGGCCGACAGGAGGCTCAGAGCACGGATGCCGTAGCTGACGATGCCCACGTCGTCCGCGCAGTCACCGACGTAGCCGTCGTCCGGTGTCGGGAGCGCGGCGCAGATGGAGCGCAAGACGGGGTCCATAGCCACGTCCCACGCCACTCCGGATGCCGGGCATCCCTGGGCCATACCGGCCAGGACAGGGAGAAATCGGAGTCGGCGTCCGGCCACGCGGATGCATATCATCGGCTGGTAGTACAGGGCGCTGAACATCCAGACGCATCCGATCGGTAGGCCAAGCCGCCGAAGAGCGCACGTGAGCCAGATCCGGGACAAGCTGGGGAAGGCGGCGGCGAAGTCGCAGCTCGTGAAGGTCGGCATCCGTTCCCCGGCCCTCGGTGGGATGCCGGCGCGGCGTGCCGCTGAGTCCAGGGCCACTACGTGGCTGCAGAAGTTCCGACCGTGCACGAACGATGGGCCTGTTGTCCACCACCACCACCATAAGTTGGAGGGGGGTCCTCCTCCTCCTCCTCCTCCTCCTCCTTCTCCTCCTCCTCCTCCTCCTCCGCCTCCTCCTCCTCGTCCTCCTCCTCCTCGTCGTCCTCCACCGCCTTCCCCCACCAAATGATGATGGTGGTGGTGGACAACAGGCCCTTGTGCGATTCGTGCGCCCGCTCCCGCACCAGGCCGCTGAGCTTGAAAAGGCCATCGCGCTGGCGAGAGCCTCAGTGTCGGTGCGAAGAGCCGCCCGGCGCACGGTGCGCTGCGGCAGCGTCTTCCACGAGCTCTCCCTTTGGGGATGCAAGCCACGTCCGCGTCGTTGGGGTGGAACAGGACGTCGCCTCCAGAGTGCAATGATGGGCCTGCTTGCCACCACCACCACCAGAAGTTGGAGGGGGGAAGGAGGAGGAGGAGGAGGAGGAGGAGGACGACGACGACGACGAAGAGGAGAAGGCGGAGGAGGGGGAGGAGGTGGAGGAGGAGGCGGAGGAGGAGGAGGAGGAGGAGGCGGAGGACCCCCTCCCCCACCAACTTATGGTGGTGGTGGTGGACAGGCCCATACAAGTGCGCCTGCAGGTCCGTCGGGATTCGTAGGGAAGCCGGGCGCTGGAGCCACGCGTCACGGGCGAGGCCATCTGACCCTGGGTGCGATCGATGCGCTGTGCTGAGCGCGGCCTTCGCCTCGGCCTCGGAGGGCACCGCCGAGTCCAAGACGTCGCCTGCAGGCACGTGCAGGCTGACGCGGGCCTCGATCTCCTCCTCGGACGCGGACGGTTTCGTGAAGATACGGCCCCCGCGACTCCAGATGGCGTCCAGCATGGACTGGGAGTCGCTGGCAATCCAGGTTCCAGACGGTGAGTCATCGATGCGGACGCCCGCAAGGACGATCCTGCGCCGGAAGGGGGCCCAGGCGAGGGCGCGCTGCATCGAGGAGGAGGAGGAGGACGACGAGGCAGGAAGAGGTAGGAAGAGGTAGGAGGAGGAGGATAATGAGGAGGAGGAGGTAGGAAGAGGTAGGAGCAGGAGGAGGAGGAGAAGAAGAAGAAGAAGACACATAGTAAGAAGGAGGAGGAGGAGGAGAAGTGTTGTCGGAGCCTCGGGTATCTGGGTCCCTGCTGCTCCCCTCCCCCTCCCGAAGGCCGACCCTGGACCTCTCGAAAGAGGGGCACGCCCTGGCAAGAGCGCCGCGGCGAGAGCCCCAGGCCCTGCGGCGAGGAGACTCTTGTGGAGGACCCCAAAAAACGGCTGGGGGAAGCAATCCTCGAAGCTCGATCCTCGATCCTGGGAACTCGATCCTCGCACCTCTATCCTGAAGCCGAGGTCCTCGAACCGCGATTATCGAAACTCGCTCCTCGATCCTCGATCCTCGAACCTCGAACCGCGATCCTTGAGCCTCGAACCTCGATCCTCGAACCTCGAAGCTCGATCCTCGAACCCCAAAGCTCGATGCTCGAATATAGATCCTGCCTTTTCCCACCTCCCTCCCTTCGTCTACAGCAAGATTGACGCCAGGCAAGCGTGACCTTTTGTTGCGTGGCTTTCGGGGTGCCGAGGGGGGGGGGGCGGAGGAGGGGAAACCCAAGCGCGCAAGCCAGTGCTGGTGGGGAGAAGCACAGTGGGCACGCACCACAGATCACTCTGGCGAAGGCCTCTCGCATGCGTCGCCGCTCCCTCCCCGCTCCCCCATCACCGCCCCATATCCCCCCACCCCCTCCCTCCCGCTCGATCCTCCATCCTCGATCCTCCCCTCCCCTCCCCTCCCTTTCCCTCTCGCCACCTCCACCATGCCTACCCTCTTTTTTTGTTTTTTGTTTGTTTTGTTTTTTTTGTTGTTGCAATCCTCTTTTTTGCAATCCTCCGTTTTTCTGCAATCCTCCCTCTCCCTCTCGCCACCTCCACCATGCCTACCCTCCGCACCCTTCCACCTAGTCTTCCGACACATATAAGCTTCCCGCAGGCCCCCCCTGCCCCCCCCCGGCGCCACCCCACCCGGCGCACCCCACGCGGGGGTAGCGCGTCGACGCCGCCGGGGGGCTTCCACGGGCGTCGCTGAAGGGGCTGTTCCTCCGGGTCTGTTCGGGCCTCGCGGGCCGGCAAAAGCCGCAGGGGTACGTCAGGCCCCCCTCCTCCTCCTCCTTCCTCCTCCTCTCCTCCTCCTCCTCCTCCTCCTCCTCCTCCTCCTCCTCCTCCTCCTCCTCCTCCTCCTCCTCCTCCCCCTCCCCCTCCTCCTCCTCCTCCCTGACGCCGCGCTGATCGGTCAAGCTCGAGGGGTCGCCGCTTTTCGTCGGCGCAGGTCCTGGAGTTCTGGCCGAGCTCAGGGCGCCAGCGGCGTGAGACCTTCGAGCGCCCGCGCCGGGGTCGCCGCCGCGTCGACGGGACGCGAGCCTGCCCTGGCGAGCGCCGCCACAACCTGGAGGAGGAGGCCCGACGAAGGGGGGGGAGGCGCCAATCGGGGCGAGCGGGGGCGAGGCGGGGAGCACCAACAGAAACAGCAGCAAAAACAACAAACACCAAACAGACAACATCAACAGCAAAGCAAACCGCAAACAACATCAACAACAACAACAGCAGCAACAACTACAACAACAACCACAACAACAACAACAACAACAACAACAACAACAACAACAGCAACAGCAACAGCAACAGCAACAACAACAACGACAACAACAACAACAACAATAACAACAACAACAACAACAACAACAACAACAACAACAACAACAACAACAACAATTACTAGCACGTGGGGACACTCCGTTCTCACCAGTGCCAGGGTTTTCATACGACGCCCGCCAATACCCCCACTTTGTGGGGGGGGCGGTTCAAGCTCTACCACATTTCCAAACGACTCTTCGCCACCACCCACACCCAGCTTCCCGCCCTATGACGTTCGGACACTTCACTTCGTGGCCTGCGGACGACCGTGGCTACTACACTGGCGCATGGGTACAGTGACTTGTTGTGGTAACATTTTCTGGACGCTAGCTTAGTATACGACATTTTCTGCGCGGTGCTAAAATTCCTAAGAAACCCAATGGTTTTTGAAGATTTCGGCGTGCGCGCGCGAAAAAAAAACGAATGTGTCCCGCATGGTATTATTTGACAGGGATGATGGCCCTGGCAGGTGCGCAACCGTTGTTGGAGAAGTTCGAAGCACGTGAAAAAGTTGCTCGCAAAAGCCCGTTTGACAGAAATGTTTTAAAAAGTGTTGGGTTTCCTACAAATCCGCAAGAGCGCGCGGGATGAAATGTTGACACTTTTTTTTGAAAAACCATTGGTGTTTTTATGTATTTATGTTAAAATCGTTACGAACACTAAGGTTTTGGAAGGATTTCGTCTTGCGCGCGCGAATGTCCACTTTACCTCATTTTTTGCAAGGGATTCTTGAAGTTTGGTTATGTTAGAACAAGAAATGTCCACTTTGCCATATTTTTTGCAAGGGAAAACCGCCCGTAACAAAACAACCGGATCTGGACCAACCCGTTTTGCCGGAGACTTCCTCACGAAAATGATGAAAACATGGCTGCGGCCTAGGCGCGGCGAGGGGGCCGTGCACCAGGGGCCCCAACAATAATTATTCTTTAGAAGTAATAATGTTCAACAGCAACAACAACACCACCAACAACAACAGCAACAACAACAGCAGCAACAGCAACAGCAACAACAACACCATCAACAACACCAGCAACATCAACAACAACAACAACGACAGTAACACCAACAACAGCAACACCAGCAACAACAACAACAACACCAACAACACCGACACCAGCAGCAACAACACCAACACCAACAACAACAACACCACCAACAACAACAATAACAACAACCACACCAACAACAACAACAACAACCGCAACTCACAAACAAACAACAACAACAACACCAACAACAACAACAACACCAACAACAACATAACCATAAACATAAACAACAACAACAATAACAACAACATCAACACCAACAACAACAACAACAGCAACAGCAACAACAACAACAACGACAACAATACCAACATGGATAACGACGACAACAACAACAGCAACAACAACCGCCACACTACGAACAGCCACAACAACAACTATACTAGCAACTATAACACCAACAAGCATACATGCAATCACAAACACCTAACAAACAAACGCAACAGCAAAAGCAACACCAAACACCAACAACGAAACCAACAACAGCAGCAACAACACCAACACACAACAGCAACAACAATAGCAACAATCATGTTAAGGCTGTTCGCCATTATCTGCTCGAGTGTCCAATGACGCGTATTTCCCAAAACCTCGATACCCGCCCTCTTCGTCTTTGATCGAACCCCTTTTGGGGGGTATTCCTTTCTTCCCTGCAGGCTGGGCCCCGGCAAGCGGCGGGGCGGCCGCGGACCGTCGGCCTGGCCAGCGGCAGCGCTGATCGGCGGGGCGGCCGCGGACCGTCGACCCGACCCTAAGAGGGACGGACAAGGGTCCGACCACGACGACGACGCGACGACGTCGACGACGACGGCGACGACGACGACGGCAACGACGACGACGAGCGAAAGCGAGAGCGAGAGAGAACGACAGTGGGGCCACAAGGACACGAAGTAGGCCATGAAGGGCGACAGCGGGGACACGAAGGGAATGCGTATGGGGCCACGAAGAGCGCGAACGAGCGGGGGCCACGAAGGGCAGATAATGCGGGGCCACAAAAGGCAACGATGGGGCCGCTGAGGGTAGCAACTGGGCCACGTAGGACAGTGAGGGGGCCACAAACGGCGACAGCGGGGCCACGAAGGGCATGCACGTGGGGCCACAGCGGGCGCGAACGAGCGGGGGCCACGAAGGGCATACGTATAATTACTGGGTCACGGAGGGCAAGGACGGGGCCACTGAGGGCAGCAACGGGGCCACGAAGGGCAGCAGCGGGGGCACGAAGGGCGACTCTAGGGCCACGAAGCGCATGCATATGGGGCCACCACGGGCGCCAACGAGCAGGCGCCACGAAGGGCATACGCATATGGGGCCACGAAGGGCAGCGAGGGGGCCACGAAGGGCTGCAACGGGGCCACGAAACAAAGCGAGGGGGCCCCACGAAGGGCTGCAACGGAGCCACGAAGGGCAGCGAGATCCCGATTCCTAAATAATCTGTGAGGGAGTGCTAAGCGTGAACGCGACTCCTGGTTGCCTGGGTGTCGGGAGCGTGGCGCTTGAGTAAATTGCAAGAAATTCCAACGCAATGCCGCTATTCTTCAGTACATTGCAAGCAAGTCTCCAGCGAGAGCGCGACTCCAGCGCGCCGGGAGAGCGATTCCTGAATAAATTGTAAGGAAGCCCCAAGCGAGAGCGCAATTCCTGAATAGAATGCGAGGAAGTCTCGGGGGGGAGCGGGGGTCCTGGCTAAATTGTGAAGAATCTGAGGCGGGAGCCGTTGTTGTTGTAATCCGGGCGCCAACAACGCAGTTTGAGCCTCAAGACTTCCCCTGATAAAAACAAGGGTGCGAGCGTCGAGGGACACACTTTGATTGAGAAACAACAGTATGCACCGGTGGGGGGATCAACCATAATCATTCGTAAGAAATAAGAGTTCAACAACAGCAACAACAACAACAACGACAACGACAACGACAACGACAACGACACCAACACCAACAACAACCATAACACCAACACCAAGAACAACAATAACATCATCACCAACAACAGCATCAGCAACAACCGCAACAACAACACCATCATCAACAACAAGGCACAGCACTGGTACAACAGTGGGGGAACAACAACAAAACAAGGGAACACAGTTCCAAGCCGCGTCCGATCCTTCGAGCAGAACGCGCCCGTCCCCGCGGAGGAGAGGGGCAAGGGGGGCGGGGTCCGAAAGGGTGGGGTGGGGGGGAAACACGAGGGGAGGATGAGCAGGAGCACGCGGAGATGAGGTAGTAGTGGGAAGCGGAGAGATTGAGGGGGAGGGGGGAGGGCAAGGCGGGTAAGGAGGGAGGGGGGGGGAGTGGGGGGGGGGGGGGGGAAAGGATGGGAGGTAGGAGCCCGACCGAACTCGCCGCCGTCCCCGTGGTTTTGGGGGTGGTCGCCCCCGCGCGCCTCTTCTTGGGAGCGAACCAGCCCTGGACGTCAGCGGCGCGCGAGCGTTCCTCTGCTGGTTGGAGGGAGGGAGTGAGGGAGGGGGCAAGCGAGGGCAAGGAGGGGGGAGGAGGGAGGCAAGGGAGGAGGAGGGAGGAAGGAGAAGGGAGGAGGAGGGAGGAGGAATAGGAGGGATGAGGAGGAGAGGAGGAGGAGGAGGAGGAGGAGAGGCAGAAGGAGGAGGAAGAGGAGGAAAGAAAGAGGAGGATAGGAGGATCCTGAAAATGAGGGCGAGGAGGTATAAAGATAGGAGGAGTGGGAGGAAGAGGTGCATGGATAGGCGGAACGGGAGGAGGCGGTGCATGGATAGGAGGAAGGGAAAGGGGAGACGGTCGGGCAGGAGGAGGAATCGAGGAGGAAGGAGGAGGCTGAGGAGCAGGAGGAGAAGGAGGAGCACAAGGGCGATGGCGAGGAAGAGGAAGTAGACGAGGAGGCCCTAGCATCAGCCTTCGCTAACCAGAACTTGTCTCTGAGTTTCTGGATTCCTGTTGCACCTCTCGGTCTCTATGTAGCCACGCATGCTCAACGAGGAGGACGGTGAGGAGAGACGGGCGACGAGGATTTCTTACAAGCCACAGCATCATGCACAGCATGCACAACCAGTCAACGATCAAGGCTTCGTGCCTAGAGGCGTACGGAAGGGAGACCAGGTCTAGCCGTTGTGTAGCATCTCTGACGGCCCAGCCGACAAAACATCTGGATCTGATCGCTACGGCAGCAAGAGACGGAGGGAACCAGCGAGACAACAAGAAAGAGCATGGACACATGGACAGGCCGCCACCGGACGTCTGGCGCGCGGTTTGAGCGAGGGGAGACCATCGGGTCGGGGGAAAGGGGGGGATAGCAAAGGGGGGGGGTGAGAATCAGCTCACGTAGCTGATTTTCCCGGCGCCTCCCGGCGCCGGAGGCGGCCATGTATCGA